GTAAAGCAGCTGGAGTAGCTGTCATAGCATCGTTCGTATCATTTACTCCGAAATTATTTGAATTTTATGTCATTCGGGCATTGTTTCGTAGTGTCCTCTCGGAAAGTGGAAAGTACGTAATTGGGAACGAGCGAATAAGTCGAGAAGGTATAATGGAAAATATTAAAATATGAGCATGCTTTGTAGGCGTATCCTTTCATAACCTCAAAATATTCATTCGAATCCCTTTAAATTCAGTTAATTTTATATGAAAAATATAATAAATAGTAAACATTTGTATATTGTTATTTTAGATAGACTCCTTCGCAATGGAAATAAATTCGATAAACGAGAAACTCCGAAGGAATGAAATATTCAAATACTTACAAGAGAAGTTGAAATTAGTGAAGTTACCGTCAGGCAGATGGGGAGTTGGAAAGGGAAATGAAGAATTTTTCACTTTTATAAACGCCGAAGAAGATTTTAGTATTAAAAAGGTCATAACTGTATATCCAAGTTTACAAGTGGACATTTGTATTAATAGTACCATTTCACCATTGTCAAAGTACATAACAGTCACTAATATCTGTGAATTAAGTGATATTTTAAATACGGTGGATGCAATGTAGGCATACGAATTGAACAACACTAGTCTGGCAACATTCCTCAAGGACAAGGTATACAAAGGAGAAAGTATAGTAAGAACGAAGAAAATTGTTGGAAATATCGTGTTCAAATTCAAGTAGAAGACGATGAGAAATTCATTGGGATTTCTATAACTCATGTGCTTTTATATTCACCTTTTCAAGGTACACAATGTATTTACAGGTTATCGATTAAGAAAGTGAAATTTATTTTTATACATCAAATTTGTTTGTACATCGATAATATTAACTAATTGTGATTTGTTATTTAATTTTGATTTTACAATCTTTTGTATACATGAACCATGAATTATTCATTTAACTTTATAAATATAAACAAGTCTTTTCCTTTTACTTTATTTATTACCCAAAGTTTGGGAACAACAGAAATATAAATTATCAATATAAAGAAATATTATTTTTTTCTTCCTTAATTATCTTTAATTATAAAATATATAAGATAAAATTAATAATTATAACACTTCAAACATTGTCATGTTTTTTAAAACAAGTACATAGTCACTGCTTATACTCGTATCACCAATTATTAAAAAAACTGAACTTCGTTGGTTCGACAGTTGTTCGACACTAATTTTTTTTTTAAATGATGCATTCAACTTTCTCTTTTACATCTATTGAATGTTGCTTTCTGATATATTTTCTTTGTTTATTGTACATAGCTCTTCTTCATTTGACTTTTTTT